CATGGACCGCAGGGTGAGCGCCCCCTGCTGGCCCCACTAACACCTCTTCCAGCAGCAACCTTAGTTTTCCCCAGGAGGAGGAGGAGCTGATTGAACTGGTGGTGGTGGAGGGGATCCCCATTACCTGTAAAGTGCTTTGAGTGGCGTGTCCAGAAAAGCATTCTATAAGAGTAAGCTATTATTATTATTGAAGGAGGCCCTGAGGCAGTCCACAGTAGAATCCCTTGGCATGTATATAGGTATCGGTGCAGTGGAGAACCAGGGTAGCCGCCCTAGTGAGTCAGTGCAGGTATCTGTGGGTGTGGTCACTGAGGCAGAACAAACATCATAACTTAGTTTTGTTTTCTGTCACAGGTGGGCAGGTTCTTTTCAGGTACCAGGTACAGCACTATATGATCTTACAAAGCCCGACTGCCTCATACTGAAATTTGCAGAGAGCTTGTGTTGGGCATAGGAAATCAATTGCTAACTGGTGTCACAGGCCATATATGCCTCCATTCACACTTACAGCTGAAGCCCTGAGATGGGAGAAATATACTTCATACCCTGCTAGGTGTTTGGTTTTTACATTGGACAAAAACGAGCATGCTTGCAGCAAAAACATTTTTTATTGTTTTTTTTTTTGTAATTAAATTGAGAATTCCACATTACAAACTTGTTTCTTGAGGATATTTTTCTTAAGTTAAGCAATTTGAACTCAAGCCCCAAAAGTATATAAATTTACCAGTATGCAAACTTGGTTCATGACCACATCAAATTCTAAAAAATAATTTTGCAAATACTGCAGCTTAATAACCATGCACCAAAACCTAAAACAGTGTAATTAGACTTGTAGTGAATATTATTCTGAATTATATCAAATACTATTGTAGTAGAGATAAATCTAAAAATCTGTTTTTAAATATTAAACTTATTCTCTCCATTCACTGGAGCATCTTCATTTTGATTGATGGTTCAACAGCCCACTTTGTTTTCAACCTGTAAAATAGTTGCCTGTTTATAGCCTTTGCCTGGAGTACAAACATTTTAGAACAGACCTAAGGGCTACAAATTCAGTCCTACATGTATCGAATCCTAAACCTCTGCTTTAAGTCCCCCCCCCCATAGGGCATAGAATGTCAAGAGAAAAGTGCAAATATAACAGAAAAAGATTAGGAAAATAACTAAAGTTACAACAGTGGGTGGGGCTCTAGACTTGCATATTCAAATCACACTTGTTACAATTGCAACACTGCTGTTGTATCCTTGAGCAAGATAATTTGCTGAGGGCTCTGGTGAAATGCGCTATAGTACAAATTAGTACACCCATAGGTTGCTTTTGCTGTAATACAATTCAAATTGGTAGCAAGTGCAAACAGTCGATTGAACAGACCCCACATAAAGGAAACGTCCTTTGTTTAAAAAGGCTCTGGCCTTTCATGCAACATGACAAAACTCTTAACCAAAATCCACAAAAAGGACTTTTAAAATTGAGACTTTCACAAAAAAAATCTAAAATATCGCCCTAAAAAAAGCAGGGGAGGCAAAAGATCCCAATTTTAAAAATCTCTCTTAAACTATGTACATTACACTAGATTTCTTTAAATGAAATAGTAGCCTATTATTTTTGTTGGGATTTCTGGCATAAGGTCAATAATGCATAACGCGCGATGAGGAAATCATGCTTAGCATTTTGACGCATAGATTTTTACAGAGCAAAGGATGTGCCTCACTTTAAATCCAAGTGGGAGACGAAGACAGGAGGGAAGTTCGAGTGACTGACCAGTGCTCTTGGTTCCCTTTACACGGGGTGGCATTTTAAATTTTGCAAAAGACAAAAGATGGTGGAAAAAGACAACTTTTTAAGGTTTGAACCCACAATCAGATGTAACTGATCTTATATTTACTAGTATGTCCATAATATTCTTCCCATATTGTTGCAGTACCAAAGACACCATACAATGCAGAGACGGATGCAAACATTTAAAATTGTTAGTGCAAATTCCCTTTTCTTGACAAAGACATTTCCATATGGAATCAGCTTATTCCAGCTATGTAAAAAAAATCCCAGGCCTTTTTTGTTTTTGTTGGCCATGTAAACAACAACATTTTCCTTCAGAACGTCACACTCAGAAGTGATAAAAGATGACTCAACTTTTCAGCGTTTTTTCAAACGCATTCATATGCTCACACCAGAAAACGACAAGTCTGTGAAGCAAGCCGACTCCCTCTTAACTTGTAACACGTAATAAGTGCAATTCTTTAAGAGGCTTTGTTCATTAGTCCTATATGGCTTTTTAAAGTGCTGACTTCTTAAAAGGTTGCAGTTCTAGAGATCACAAAATATTCAGCCCAGTGCCTCTAGATTTACTCCCCTACATCAGGGAACCTAAACCCCTCAATGACTAAAGACTTGGAACAGCTGATAATTCAATTACTCACTAAAAGCCTTGGTAGATTGAAACAAAAACATCCTATTGGTTCTCCTGGCCCAGGAGCGAGGATCACTGCCAAGTTTAAAATACATTACTCTTTTCTGTCCCATTCAATTAGCCTTTTGTTTTTTAAAGCAGCACTTAGTTTTTAGATACGTCAGTGATGTATCGTTGATCAAGAGTCGGCTGTATCTAATTCTACTCAAAGGGGATAGGGGCAGATGTTACTGCTTGTGACCACTGGCAAAAGCAACTGTTGATTTGTTCATTTCAGCTTCCAGCCAACCTCACTGAGGGGGAGGAGGATTAGGGAACATTCAGGATCTGGGTTTAGAAGTGGCTGTCCCACGCGCCTGCGCTAGAAAGGACTAGAAGGGACAGTTTAGTTGTTTAACTTTCCGATTTATCAGGATGATGGGGTCTTTTTAACTGTTTTCAGCCGAAAGGTCAAATCCCCTCATTCCATTTAAGTAAAAAAAAAATTGGTCCTTCCTGGTTGAGTCTCATGAAGTACAGTAGCTCTTTTAAAAAGAAGATTCAGGTCCAGAGGAAATCAAAGCTGTGACCCATCCGTCAAATTCAAATTCTCAAACCAGATTGCCTTAACGTACAATAGCACCAATGCCCCAGGGTGGGATTTAGGATTTAGGTCTCCATTTTGCTTTTGAGGTACCCACCCATCCATATATCCAGTAGATGGTTTATGCATCTAGTGGATTTATGGAAGGATTCCACAGAAGCAGACCTCCACAATTATTAAAAACGTGGTGGAAGACTACTTATTGAAGGCTGTCAGTGCAAGAATTCTTAAAGAATTATAAAGAATTCTTAGTGGCCTTTAATCATGATGGGATCTTTTTTTTTACTGTACAGACTCTACAGAAGGTGCACGCTTATAGCCCAGAAGTAGAGTACGTTCTGATCTTTGATCAGTGTTATAGAATAACTGGTTATAAAATCATGTAGTGTGGTTTCAAAAAATGTTACACATTTGTATAACTCTCGTTGAGTGACATTCCTGTAAATTTTACTTTCTTTTGCTCATCCTCCCAAACTTAACAAGAAGTATGAACTTTTGACACCGCCTTTCAAGATGTTGAATAAAAGGGGAGGTGCATTTGTGTGCTTGAGAAGCTCATTAAGGAAGCTAGCTGTCTAACACCGCATATATCTAGTACAGAAACATCACTATCCAGACTCCCAACACCTCTGGATGACCTCCATCATCAAGAGTGAGGTACCAGCTCCGACACCCATTCACCAAATATCAGTTCTTCCCCTGCAAAACAAAGATCTGGAAAAACCACTTCTTTGTTACTTAAGAGCCATATTCATCCGACTTGAACCCTCACAATTCTAGCGCAGTGGAAAAATTAACAATTTCCAAAAAAACGAAGTAGTATTTGAGTGTGATTAAAAAAAAACAAAACAGGCGCACTGTCCAGAATGTGCTTGAAAACAGTGGTCTGCAAGAAAGAGAGCGGTGGTCCCATCTCCAGGTTCATCTTCAGCTGCACCTGCGCTAAGGCAAGTCCAGCAGGTTGTTCTTGGCATACAGCTCCTCTGTGATCTGGTAGACCTCGGCGATGAGGGGCAGGGCCTCCCCCAGCATCGTCACCACCTGGTCAGGTGTGCCCACGTTCATGACCTCGAAGAAGGTGGCCCGCCCGGGGAGAGCACAGAAGGCCATGAGCGAAGCCTTGCGGATGATCCAGGAGTGGTGGTGAGCCAGGGACTCGTTGTAGGCCTCCGCGCACATGGCAGACGTCTTCCCGTCCTCGCCGCTGGTCCGCAGTCTCTCCAGGAAGAGCTCCAGCCAGCGCAGGGCGCGGTGCAGCCTCAGGGTGGTCCGGCAGCCCGACTCGGGGTGGTCCGCCCTCTTGGTGAGGTCCACCAGCCCGTGGGCCAGCTCGTACTTCACCATGGACTGGACGGTCTCGTACTGCTCTCCGTGCCCGCCCTTGCGATGGTTGGCCATGATCTGGATCTTGCCGACGGCATCTTTGGAGATGAAGGAGAAGATGGTGCCGAGGCTGTTCATGAACCTTGAAGAGACCACGTGCAGAAGGTTGAGACAAAGCTACGGAGGTTTCGTTGCCACTAGTTTGATCTATTGATGGTCTTATTTAAATAAGTAATAGGTTTATTCCATGCTGGGGGAAAAAAAGAAGAAAGAAAACACAACGTTTCGGCCGTGGAGCCTTCTTCAGGGTTCTTCAACCCTCACACCTGAAGAAGGCTCCACGGCCAAAACGTTGCGTTTTCTTTCTTCTTTTTTTCAGCATGGAATAAACCTATTACTTGTCCCATTTGCAGCCTACGCATGCTGACGCAGCTACCCACCTGAACTACTTATTTAAATAACTATGCATTTAGAAAATGCTTTTATTTAAGTCGGAGCCATTTACAGCCAGGAGGAGAGGGACGTTTATGAATAACTGTTGCCAAAAAAAAAGAGGTAAATATTCAAACTCGCTCCCTGGAAATACTCCATTTACAATCGGTATTAGTATTGCAGTATTTTCACCAAACCTAACTTTCCCAGAGCAGCCCCTGACGAGACTAACCTGCAGTGTTAGCTGAAACCCTCAACCTGTGAGGCTAAGGGCGTTTTTCAATGATATGATTAAATCTTTGCTGCCTGGTGTGCCTGGTGCATTGGTTAGCACTGTCACGTTTTGTTTTGCACTTCAACAATGATGCTTTTCTCTCTCCCTGCTGTGCTCTCTGTGTAACAATGATGACCCTGCCAAGAGGCATTCACCAGTGATCGTTTCAACTGGCTTGTCTTGCTAAAGAGAGGATTCTTGCTTCTTTATACAGTAATAATTTCTATTTCCGATACTGTTGGCTAATGATGCTGTCAACCGTTAGTCTCGCAGGCATGAAAGAACTTGGATGGCATCCTCTTCTGTATTTCCCCGCTGCAGACAGGATCAGGATCTCCAGCTGGCGAGACCCTGATGTCCACAGCAGGCTTCAGCCCGTTACCTCAACTGCAAAATGAACTCCCCTTTCTGTACAGCACCCTTTACAACACATTGTCACATAGTGTTTACCTGTCATGTATACATTATATACTGCAGGGTTATACAGTACATTAACTAAAAAGGAAATTCGATTAAGTGGGTGTAAAGTAGGGCAGCGTGGTGATGCAGGGGTTAACACTGCTGCCTTGCAGGGCTGGGCCCTTGGGTGCTGTTTGTATGTTCTCCCTGTGTACAGGTGGGTTTCCTCCGGGTGTTCCAGTTTAATCCCACAGTCCAAAATTATACTGGTCGGTGAATTGGCTTCTGGGAAAATTGGCCCTGGTGTGAATGTGTGTTTGTCTGTGTTTGGTTTCCAGGAGCTTCTGCCTTGTCCCCGTTGCTTGCTGGGATAGGCTCTGGGTCCCCTGCAAACCTGAACTGAATAAAGCAGTTAGAAAATGGATGAAGGGATGCAGGTTTCAGAATCTGAATTGGATAGATGGGACACAGGTCTGACTTCATCTCGACCTAAATTTTATTTAAAAAAAAACAGCTGCTTCATTAGGCTCATCAATGCATGCTTGAGAGGATGAGTGTTCATCCAAAAATCATCCATTTATCTCTGCTGCTGGTCTCTCCACTACTAAACTGTCATTATATAAATATAATGACATAAATATAGACTATCATCTGGATAGAAAATAATATTTACAGATGTTCTAGTTTAATTGTCGGGGTAATTAAAACACAGTTTAATCATTAATCAAGTGTCAAAATGTAGACTTATCCATTGATTACTGTGTTCAACGTTCAACAGATCGTTTCCGTTTGCAATATTCACATCACTGACTGGCTGCCAGCCTGCGCTCAATTAGTTAGAATACGTTGACAATTAAAAATTAAAACCGTTTAAGTACTAAATGTTTTAATGTTCACGCCCAGCCGTTTAGAGTCCTATTTTTAGAAAAAAATAGTTTTGACAACTGCTACGAAGAAATTAACTAAAGTTAATCCGATGTTTGAAATAGAAACGTTTTCACAATTATTTTTCAGAGTTCACCAGAATTTATTCTGGCCGTTTAACACAGTAACATCAAACACTAGTTAAACCTGAAATCACCATGGAAGACTCACCTTACAAGTCCTCGCCACCCCGCCACGTACTGATCGATTAAAATCTCCTTGTTGTCTGTGAGACAGGACTGGAAAGTGTCCAGCACCTCTTTCAAACTAAATTTCTGGTCCTCCACCACATCAGCCATGTTTACCCGGAAGCAGGAAAGCACACCAAGCTTGACAAGAAAAATCAGCTGACGTAAATCTATGTGAACATAAATGAAGACGTGAAGTAACTTTGTGATGTTTTCTTTTTTTTTAAAAAAAAAGCCTGATTTTTTTTTACTTTCATGCAAACGGTCAGCTGATCTCACATTTCCACACACACTCTTCGCTTCTTCACTGGTTTATACGGTAACCGGAGTGTTATCTTTTGCTTTCTCAACCGAACAGTAAATCTCTTTACCCCACCTTCCGCTTGTTTCTATTGGTTACATTTTGTGCATTGTTTGTCAACTGCTCTAATATTTGACGCTGATTGGGCTGTGCTGTTGTCAATCAAAGACAAATCGCGTGGTGGGTGTCATTGCATACAAGATGGCAGCGTACAGCAGATGAAGTTGATTTTTTAAAAGATTACCCCACTAGTAGAAAACCAGACTTGAACATTGTTTAGGTGATAACATTTTCATACCCGTCATTTTACGTCGAAGTAAGTGATTTACTTATGCATTGAAGATCTCTGATGGAATTTATAGCATTTTAAACTGGAAAACGTTTTAGAATCATGTTTGTTTCTGAAGTTAAACGCTTTAAATCCTTTTACTTGAATGTATTAATTTGTGGTTCTCTCTCTTGTTTTCGTTCTCAATTGTTGTTTTACATATTCCAACTAAGCCTTTGCTAGGTCCCCGAGGTGAAAGGACTTGATGCCTGATTGAATCTAATTGCATATGCTGCGTGAAGCATTGAGATGGTTTTTAGATTTTCAATGAATGATGGTTATCCGTCATTAAATTGAAAATAAACACTTGTGGTTTCCCCTTCATGCAGATGGGTACAATCTTTTGCAACAACTGACCGTGATCACGCCGGTAGAAAGAAAGCGAGCGTTTCTACAGGATGCCCGAGATAAAAGTAACTCCTTTAGGTAAGATGTCAGTAGCAAACGGTGTAAGTGATATAGTTCTTCACTGAGTAATATCCGTGTTTGTCCTGCATTTGAAACGGTCCTGTGAGTTTGTAGATAAGTACAACAGTGCTTTACAGCACTCTGGCTCATACTTCAGCGGAGTTAGAATGAGAAGAAATGACAGAATCTCAGCAGAAGCAATTTCTAATAACTATAACACTTTGAAACCATTGGGTCAAACTAAGTTCTACTTCATTGATGTGTTGTCAGACTCAGAATGTAGTACACCTAAAGTATGAGCCCCACAGAGACCAATATAGTGTATTGCCTTTGGAAATGCTGTGTGGGTGCAGACGTGTCTTGTGCTAATGTAGATTGCATATCTAACATGCAGTTTACTCCCATTGAAATAAAACATTTATGCGATCGGCATTGCCCTTATTCTCTCTGTAAGTTTTGTGTGGCCTAGTAGTGCGTATGGATTGTTGCCCGAAGTAACGTCTTTCCTGTCTTGCAGGTGCTGGCCAGGATGTGGGGCGAAGCTGTATCTTGGTTTCCATTGGTGGGAAGAATGTCATGCTGGATTGTGGGATGCACATGGGATACAATGATGACGTGAGCAGTTTTGAACTGTGGATCACCTTGTCTTAACATAACATTCCCTATGAATTTGTGTCACTGTAGGAAATTGTTCTTTTTGTTGACGTTTTGACTGCATACACTTCTTTTTATCACCCAGTTATGTAGTTCTGTTTCATGTTTGCCTTAGTGTTTAATGTCCTGTTTTCTGTTTCAGTTAGGGCCCTTTAATAGCTATTTCTATTTATTGTAGTTTTAAAATGTTTTGGGGAGACATATTGGTGAAGTGGTTGCCTTGCGATGCTGAGACCCCGGGTTCAATTCTTAGGGTTCTGTCTATGTGGAGTCTGTATGTTCTCCACTGGTTTGTGTGGCTGTCTTCCCGGTGCCCTGGTTTCATCCCGCAATGTAAAGACATACTGGGGTCTGGGAAAATTGGCCCTGGGTGTCAGCGTGTGCATATTTGTGTCTGTGTGTGCCTGGTGACGGACTGGCGTCCCGTCCAGGCTGTATCCTGCCTTGCGTTCGTTGCTTGCTGGGATACGTTCTGACTCCCCTGTGACCCCGTAGGGGATGAAGTGGCTTAGAACAAGGGTGGATGGATGAATATTACAATATCGCAAACTATTGTATCTTTTGTTTGTTTTATCAGAGGCGTTTCCCAGATTTCTCCTACATTACACAGAACGGACGGCTAACAGAGTTTCTGGATTGTGTCATCATAAGGTTTGACCTTTATAATTTTCTAGACATTTAACCCCATCCAAAGTCTGGAAATTTTCAAGTCCAATGTTGATTCAAAGATCACTTTGAAACCTGCTGGAATCCAGCACTTGAGGACCAAGATCTATGCCTGCCTAAGGATCTCCATGTAACCTTTTCACTTGATGAGTATATCGGTGCATTTATTTTATTGGTGCCTTTATGTTTACAGCCAGTATTGACGAAGCAAATAAAAAATCTAAACAATCCTAAAGACAGCCATATTAAGGACAAACGTAACAGTGTGAAATTGTGCATAGCTGTTAAAAATGGAGTGTTTTGCTGGTTCGCTTCATTGTTTAAGCTCCCAAAGAATGTACTTCAAAGACACAAAATCTATTTAATGTTTTGTGGGTGGTGTGTGATTATAGTGAGGTTTTGAATGGCGATATGTGAACTGTTTCATGGGGAAGCTGTCTGAGTGTGAATTATCCCTGCCCTTATAGTGTCTATTAGGAACTTATTGCCTCATTTTTAATATTGCATGAACGCGCCAGTGTGGTTTGAGGTGGGAACTGAGCATGCCTGGGAGTTGGCAGAGTGGCATAGATGAGACCAGTGTTCGGAACATAGCTGAGGCTTTACAGGCTGCACAGTTATTCCCATTTACCGGATGCCACCGAGATTGTTGATTTAAAGTCCCTTGGCTTGGCATGTTCCTTGAGCTGTGCAGAACCAGAACTGATAAACACCCGGTGGTTTTGAAAGCTCGAAAGTACTAAACGTCCACAAACGTTTGTGAAGTATACCAAATTGATACTAAAGAGATAAACGAGGAAGCTCATTTCTGTTATTGCCCAGGAAGTGCTTTATGTTTTGATAAAGATGAGACATGATATTCCGCTCTTTGTCTCTCAGCCATTTCCACCTGGATCACTGTGGCGCCCTCCCCTACATGAGTGAGATGGTGGGCTACGATGGGCCTATATACATGACCCACCCCACCAAGGCCATCTGCCCAATCCTGCTGGAGGACTTCCGGAAGATCACCGTGGACAAGAAGGGCGAGACCAACTTCTTCACCTCGCAGATGATCAAAGACTGCATGAAGAAAGTGGTGGCAATAAATCTCCATCAGACAGTCCAGGTGACCTTTTCACGGCCGATTTTCACTTTGCAGAAATCCGACTTGGAAGTTGTATTTTCACTTGAGCGGTTTCATTTGCTGCCCACCAAAAAACAACTGTTTCAGTTAATTGGGAGTATTTTTACCAACCTTCATTGCAAGCAAAGTGGTTCATCTTAACTACCTCTAAAAAAAAAT